ATAAGAGACAGCCCACGACGATCTGTCCCCAGTAAAATAACGACGGCGGGCGGCGCCGCAGCGCAGCAGGGTCCCGGCCCTGAGGTGGGGGAGGCAGCGGGAGGGGGCAGCCACGGCAGGAGCCGTCAGCGGGCGGCGGGGAGGCGGCAGCCCAGTCCCGCGCAGCACGGGTTGTGTTCGATGTTTGCTCCGATGGGATGTTTGTCCGGGTTTGGGGCCCGGGAACCAGGGATGAGCCCCACGACCCCGAGAGTGGGGTAGGAAAGCGAGTCGGGAGCAGCGACGGCTCCAGCAACAAGTACAGGGCTGTAACCGGAGGCAGCCGGGCAGGGGGTCAAACCAGGGGCTTTGGCTTTCTGCACGCCGTGCAGCACAGTGGAGAACATTGTTGCCACAGGATCCGGTGGCTGCCGGCCGCTTGCCAGCCTTCAAAGGGCACTCGAGCAAATCCATGAAACATCCCTCAGAGCTGCATTGCAGATTGTAAAATCATCTTTGATTTAAAAGTTTCAGATGTGCGGAAGGCTGGAAGCGTGTCCCCAGTGAGTACCACCATGGGCTGCTTCTGTTCATACGGGCTCCCTCGACATCGCGTTCAGCCAAAAAACAACTAAAACATGCACCTGCCCGCTGCCTCAAACTCCATTAGCAGCAGGGATACTAAGTACTCTGCAGGTGAAAAAAACCCCACAACTTCAGTTTCATATTTCACAGTGTATAAATACAGACAGTGAAGTAATGCCAGATTTGTATGAAATGCAAGCCTACTCGCTTCTAAAGGAAGAATCTATTTGCCCTTCAAGAAGGTGCTCTGAGAAGCCTGTTTTTTCTGCATTGCAGATATAGCCCCATAATTGCATCTTCTGGTGCTTCAACCTTAGGCTGAAAGACAATGCTATCAGGAACACTATTTCCTGTCTTTGCTGTAGTTGCAGTACACTCAGTTTTTGGCAGTACACTGCTTTTGCACTGGTGCCAAACCTCACAATGAATAATGTGTGTCAAACACAGCAAATTAGTGCTCAATCTAGTATGGAAATAACAAGGATCTTAAAGCACAGCACTTCTCAAACTGATGAGCTGCCCCAGAAAAAACAAACAAACAAAACAACTAAAACCACAAAAGATGAAGTATTTATAGGTATAGTCTTAGCTGAGTAAATATTAAAAATACCATTTAGAAAGCATAGTCATAGAGAAGTGTGTTGTAACAAAGGAGGAAACTGGATGCATTATTTAACAAATAGTTTTCAAACACTCAAGTACTGCTATTACAGAATAACAATACATTACTACTACTGCAAGATAGATTTCCATTCAGTCCTCTCACAACCTTTAATCTTGTGAGTGCATATAATTTTGTATTCTGGTTTTTATACAACACTCAGTTGTATTTAGATACTGGTGAAATGATCTCCAGAGAAATTACTATTGCTTAATTTCTCCTGTGTGGACCATTTTCTGGTATGTCTGAATCTGAACTTCAGTGCTATTGTCCCTCAAAATACACTTTACAACAGAAAGCCCATACTTAAAGCTCGGCATGTAACTTACCAATCGAAGCTGCAAGATGGCTCAGAGCAGGCACAGCTGGTGTCTTCAGTGTTGACTAATTTATTAAGAAATGAAAACTTGAGGGAAAGAGAAATAGCCACTTGCCACCTCAGGTGAAGAGATTTCACTAGAAGCAAACTCAGACTGATTTTTCCTAACTGGATAAAGTAACTTTTGCATACACTGTATCAAAGAATAATCAAATTGTTAAATCAAAATTCATTGTTAAAGTTTTGCTTAAGCCAGAATGAAATCAGGGCTGTTAATCTATGTTAATAAACTTTCATCACAAAAAAAAAAAAAAAAGTTTTCCATCTTAAACAATAATACAAGTGTATGTAAACCCTGCTGAAGAGATAACACAACTGAATTAACATTTAACCAACTGTGAAAGTGGAAACCTCCAGGACAGCTGAAAATTACAAGTTTTTTAAAACCTCCTCCTCAGTCTTGCCTGCTCACTGTTTTTTTTTACTTGCAAACAAAATAGTTGACTAACCCACTTAAAAGCTAATGTACTAAGAGAGAAAACATGCTGTATTCTGTCTTACTATAACCATTTTCCAAGTTACTCTGAGTTGTATAATACACTAAAATTGCATTCAAAGAACTTACCGACAGAAAGAACAAAGATTTGTTGTGAAGTTTGCAAGCATCTATTGTGAAGCATGCACTAACTTCAGTCACGTAGCTCCAGGTCTCAATACGCGACCCTGGAGACAATCATATTTTCATTTCTTCCAGGAAAATCACAGTTCAATCTTTCCCCTTTTCATAACAGAATTAATAAAGTCATTAATTACATTCCTGGCCCTCTAACACTACTTAAAACATCTCACCATTTTATTTTGCAAGATTTGGGCGCAATCCTCAGGTACAAATTCAATTAAACTGGTATTCAGTTTGCTTGGGGTTTTTTATGTCAGTTTTAGCTGAAATCAGGGTCTGTTGAGAAAGAACTCCACCTTCTTTCATTTGTTTTTAAACTTGAGTTTCATTAATTATTGACTTACACTTCTGTTTGTCTTTATTTCATTCCCAACAGGAAAGGAGAAAGGTAATTTCCCCGCTTCAGGCTTTCTAGCGACAGTTGGTATAATTAAAATGATGGACATTTTATTTTCAAAACATAGGCTGAGCAATTGTGGAATCTACAGAAAGGTAGTTTCTTATTTAAGACTGAGGCTAATTCTTATCAGGCCATTTCATCATGGACTTTAGTCTTAATTGAAACTGTTCAGTAAGATAAGACTTAACATTTAGGCTCAGAAGGCAGTACCATGATCAGAACACATTCTGTGAGCTGAATGCAGAGTGTTTTTACATAAAAATACTTCTGCTGATCTGAGGAAAATTTAATACTACTACTACTACAAAAAAAAGAAGTTTTTGCAACTGGTCTTTCTACCCGAGAATCCATTTTCATAGACAAGTATTCAATATGTGGAACATTTTGGGGTGTTAAGTTTTGTTGGTTTTGGGTTTTTTTGTTTTTTGTTTTTTTAACTAGGTCAATACAAAACCCTCATGGGACTAGCTTGATTTTAAGATTGATACTGCAGGCCTTCCTGAAGGCCTTTGTGTTGTTGCCCTCTCTGTTGCTAACTCATCATAGCTAGTGTCCTGGTTCAGCCAGGACAGAGTAAAATTTTCCCCAGCAGAGAGAGAGGGGGAAGGGATCTCCAGCCGGGTTATTCATACCATGCTGACATCAGGTCCGGGGGCGGAACCCTTTTCCTTGGTCCTTGGTTGGTACAGGAGGGAATTTTGCTTTCCGTGACCAGCTAGCAGTATTTCTCTGTATATCGTTTGTCTTGTTCACTGTTATTGCTGTTTATTGTTGTGACCATTGATACTGTTGTTATTCAGATTCTTCTATCACTCTGTTGTATTAAATTTCTTGTTATTTTAGCCGGGGTCTGTGTCTAACTTCCAGCCCGACCGGCGCAGGTGGGGGAGGGGCAACGGCCACATGGTCCCTGATCCCGGCAACGATTAAAACTTGCACAGCTAGTTAGTTTAGTTATAGGGAACAACCCTGGGTAACACAAATACTGAACTTCTATAAAAAACAAACTTAAGTAGGTCATAAATTTTCAGGCAAGATCAGAAATCATATTCTTGTCACAGGAACTTCGAAGATCAGAATCATTTGCTGTGCTTCCAGATTACTCTATGGTTACACCTTGTTCTTTGCCTTCAGCAGTTGCATTCCAGTAACTTTTTTTTAAAGTAACTGGGTACATTCTGTTTTAGATTTAGTCACATTTTCCCACCAGACACTCACTTCAACTCAGTCTTGGACATCTGTCTGTCTATAGATGTTGTAACCCTTATTTTCCCATGGCAACTAGGGCATCTGAGATAAAGGTGCCGTGAATGATGCCTTTTGTGAATCCAATCCATACCCAGCTATGCTCATTGGTCTATTTGATGGATTCAAGCAGATACATATGCCTGCAGATGTTACTTGACCCTAGACTGTCATGTCCTTTCCTCTCACAGATTTCTGAAAAAAAAAAAAAAGAAAAAAAAAGACTTGCATTCTTCAAGGTTTAACATTCATAATTTAAGAAAACCCATGCTGATGAGAACCTAGTTTCAGCACCAGTGTGACCTTGGGAGGCAAAGGTTGTGAAGGATCCTTCACATTCCAGTTATAAGCTGACTCAGCAAAGCACATTTGACAGCTCCCCAAATAGCCTGATGCGGTTAAAAAAATACCTGAGGTGACAATCTGCTTTGTTACAGGGATGTAGATTTTTAGAAGAAACCACAGGGAAGTTGGTCTCACACAAGATATTTTGTTTGGAAAGCTCTTGCACAAGAGACATACCCTAGTTTCCCAAATTACTGTATCCAGAAAAGATTTGTTCATAAGCAGACCCTCCTAACAGCAGCAGCCTTCAGAAAGCTTATAATACCTCACACTTCGGGCACTGCCTCAGCTGCGTAAGACTCGGAAAGCAAAGGCATTGCTCTTTCTATTGCTGAACCCTGGTAGTGAATACCTGTGAAGGATGCCACTGAAGAACCAGGTCACAGGTGGTCAAATCCAAATTCAACACATGACACTGAACATTCGGACAGAAACACTGCCCCAAGACATGTCAGACAGGGAAGCCATGGTTTTAATTTGAACACATGATGTATGGGCCACTTGTTAAGAAATATGAAACCCAAGGGTCTCCACAGTTATCCATATGACATCAAGACAAATGAGCATGATGCAAGGAAGAGTTTACAAATTTGACCTACTATCTTAAGCTCTTATAAGTATTTTAATCTCCAGAGGCACACTGTCCATCAGGCATATTGCCTGACAAGTATTTACTGCTACAGGCTCTCAGAGAAAAAGTTTAACTGTAACAAAAAACGGACAGCAATTCTCATCCCGTTGTACATCAAGATCAAAAAAACACTGACAGCTACAGTCAGTAGAAAAAAAGAGAAGGCATTGAAAAATATTTTAAGGTACAGATAAAAAATATTTTGTTTTAATTTTGAACACAGCCCAAAAAGCAGCATTTTCTACTTGGAAAAAGAAAAGGATTATGAAGGAAGCAGAGTATATTTACATTTCAAGTGACAAACACAATGTTCACAAGTCAAAATATTTTAATAACGAGTAATTGGGAGACATTCCCTTACTCTCTTACTGTATTTTGGACTAGCAGCTACTCTACAGATGTAAGTCAGTTCAGCATTTTGTGTGAGTTTTCTGCCTTGCAACATCAAAAGTACATACCCTTGCTCTGTAAGTCCAGCAACACAGATACAATACTGTAAATAAAATTATAGTCTTTTGCCTACTTAGAAGCCCTGTGCTGCCACACTATACTATGCAAACAAGTTACTTATGGAGTTACAGAAAGCTAGCACACTGGAAACGCTGCCTCATTCCATAGATTATACAGACTCACTTAAACTGCTAGCTTAAAAAGATTACACAAGTAATTCAGTGAAAATGTTTATGTGATAAATTAGTATTGTTTAAAGCTGGCTATAGATTAAGATACCGAACCATGACTAAACAACTTTTTGCAACAGATAAGCAATCCCAGAAATACAACTCACTTAAACCCTGTTCACAGTTAGTAAGAATATGACTTTTCATCCAGATGAAAATAATGCATGTTCAAGAACAAAATAAAATCTCTTATTAAACGGTTTGCAGAATTTATTAGGTCTTTTGTAATATACTCAATACTTTATCAAGCTAGTTGCATATAAAGTGATCTCCACCATATACATTACAATTTCTGTGCATCATCTAAAAAAAAAAAAAGTCAAAAAGTAATATTTTACAGGTTACAGTTAACTTCTAATTAGCCAAAAAGTGAACCCTTCTGCAATTTGATTTAAGACACTAACTTACACGTTGCTTCTAATCTGCAATATTTAAATTAGGTTTCACAGCAAGCTCAACCTGCATTTCAGCAAAAAGAGGTTACTGCCATCTCAACTTTTGAATTTCCATAGTTTACTACCCTAACACCTCAAAAAATTAATGTGGTGTTCACTCTAAAGATGGAAAAAGTGTATGACAATTTCCTTACAACAAAGCCTGCTCAGAATACATACGCCTCGAGAAAGTTAGGAAATTCCTCCAGTAAAAGGAATTTACCCAAATTTTACTTAGCACACTAAGTAAACTAGTATTGGATAGGACTTAAAGCAAAGGAAACTGGAAAAAAAAAGCAGATTCTAGCTGCAAGAAACACTTCCCAATTTAGAACAATCTTTAAATGGAACTCACGCAGATAATTAACAAGTAAGTTTTCTGGTATCTTCATAGGATGCTAGTTTACTGGCCAGGCACATATGCTGTAAATATACAAAGAATCCAGAGTGCTGAAATTTACACAGCACTTAAAGGATTTAACATAACAGAGGTGGGTAGGAGACAGGAAAAATATTTAACAATTTATATAAATATATTAAAATCTCAGCAAGAAACATAAAAGCCCATGCACACAAGACAGTAAACTGAGAAACATTTAAGACTTGACTTTTCCTTTCAACAGCACTGACATCTGAATTCTGGAAAGTTAACAATTTACAGTATCTTATAACAGTCTTTCTCCACACAATCTGTATGTACTGAATCATACCAACATTACACAGCACATAAACAAGCAGCAGATGCATCAAGGGAACAGGAGCTATATGCATCATGTGGCCTGCCCAGAAAAATTGTTTCTGACATAAGCAGAGATACAATCAATATAGTTAATTGTATACTGATCACTTTCAAAAGTTAATCCACGATATGGGAAAGGGGAGCTTCAGATAAAAAGTATGTACTCAGTATCAGAAGTGACAGAAGCAAAGATTTATCTTTGAAAACTGGATCCATTCTGGACTGGCCTTGATGCACATGCAGTACATTTGTTTTCAGAATGCAAGATTAGTTGGGAATGTCTGCACTAGTGTTTCTATTTCCGTATTTGTGATGGATGATCAGCAATACAACTCCTAAGAAGAAGCATATGGACCCAACAGTGATGTAAGCAATTCCCAGGAAGGGATTTTTGCCTCCCATCCACGAGATGGTGCTTAGGATCATTCTTTTTCGTCCATCAAAACTGTGTACAGGATAATCTGAAAAACATTTAGGAAAACAAGAAGCACATTTCCAAATCTAGCCTTATGTGGTCAAGCACATTACAATTTTGGGGTCATTCCACTCAGGTTCCAAATAGAAACTTCTGCCTTTGAATACTCAAAGTGCAAATATGAAACATTTAGCTGTTCTTTTAGACCAAGACTAATCTGGGCATTGTCAGTTACTCCAAGAAAAATGCCACATTAGGAGATATTAATCCCTTTTAAGGGAAGAGTAAATGCAAGACTCCATGGGTTTTTGAAAGCAGCTTTAGTAAAATTAGAGAAATCTAAATTTTAATTCTTGAATATATTTTAAAAATGTTTCTTTATGTCCATTCAGTTTTATATAAGCTTTCTACAGTTTTGCAGAGGAGGACAATACTGCAGTAGCTATTTAAAAATTATTATTAAGTCCTTTCAAATGTTAAGAATTCAGTAACTATGACAACCCTCCTTCTCTAGTCTCCTGCACTCCTACTTAAGTCTTTAGTTTGTCCAAAACAGAATGACAGACTCCTACCTGACCCACAGCTCTGGCATTTTTCTGACTTCCAAAATCAGTCTGCCCTGGATTACATATTGTCATTACACCTTGAACTTAAAGTTCTTAAATTTCTAGACTACCAACTACCTCTGTTCACTCCTTTTTTCCTATGCTTCTCAAATCCTTTCCAGCACCCAAACAATCTGATTTCCCTTTCACTATAAAGCTACTAATTCTATAAAAACTTCAACAGAAGTAAAAGTTCATAATATTCTACACAATTCTCATTACCAATTTTCAACCACAGCTCACTGCCATCTTTTTTTTAGAGATGGTAAGAAAAAAGGCTAGTTCAATTTCAACTTGCACAAATATTTATGTCTGTGTAATCCAGCTAAAGCCCTTAGCCACTTTTCAAAGGTTTTTCAAAGGATACTGTATGCAATATCCAAAGAGTATTTTCCAGCCTGTAAGGTAGGCTGCAAGTTATTCTTTCTTTCAATGAGACGATACAGTTTGCGAAATGTTGGCAGAGCAGCAGTACGCATCCACACGATGAAGTCTTCATTGATAAAGCCATTGTTGTCAGGCTCCGAGTCCAGCATATACACTGGCTTGGGCCAGTTTACAGGTTTTGTTGTGCCTAGGATTAAACAAAAATAATAACAACAAAGTGTTTCAAATACAGGACTATGGCTCATCAAAATTAATTCTAATATTACAAAAAAACATACTACCTTCTGAACAGTATGAACAGACAGGTTGGCTTGCTACCATTGCAAGACCCTAGGCTGTTTAAGAACTTTTTTTATTTTGCAGCATTTAAATAGTAGTGTATATCCATTCATTCTCATGACAGCACTGTCCATTTGCTTAAACAAATTTGCCATCCCTACACATTTATAAATAGCTAGGAAGACTTGTCTCAAAATATTACTGAGACAGTTCTCCAGTATTATGATAGCTCCTCTGCTCACTTGCTTAAGAGTTTGACTACCAATTCCTGGACCATAAGCAAATACATTATGTACAATATTTCAGATGATGCCATACTAATGATTTTGATAATTTTGTTGGAAATACAATTCTACACTGCATTAGGGTAAAGTATCTTGTTTTCCATGGGTAGCATCACATTGGTAACATGTAATTTGGCTGTGACTAAGCAAGAAACCCACACCAGGTTAAAATTGGTATTATTATATACCTTGCATAAACAAACACACACACCCCCCATAGTGCCCTGAGGAAATTTATTTTCAGACATTAGCAGCCAAAGAAAACTTTGATTTACCAAACTTTATTTAACCTAACAAGTGAGAGTCATCAGTCACTTCTAATCACAAAAAAGAAAGTTTTTCAGAAAACTCTGCACAACCTAGCAGCAGAAACATTTAAGTGAAAATTCCATATGAAGAGTTTGAAAAGTTCTGCAGTTGTTTATCAAGTGAAATCCAAGCATTATGGGAATTGTAACAGTTTTGGCTGGGATGGACGTACATTTCTTCATAGTAGCTTCTATCCTGCTGTATTTTGGATTTGTGATGAAAATGGTGTTGATAACACACTGATGTTTTATTTATTGCTGAACAGTGCTTACACAGCCTCAGGGCCTTTTCTGCTCCTCAGACTGCCCTGCCAGTGCACGGGCTGAGGGTGCACAAGACTTTGGGAGGGGACACAGCTGGGACAAAGGGATCCCATACCATATGACATCGTGTTCAACAATAAAACTGGGCAGGTAGAGGTAGGCAGGGCCTGACATTGCTCAGGGACTCAGCGGTGAACAATTTTCTTTTGCATCAGTTGTTTTTCCTGGATTTAATTTTCCTCTCTGTTGCTTGTTTTTGTTTGTTTATTTTCTTACAATGTTGGGGTGGCGTTTTTTTTTCCACTTTTAAACTGTCTGTACCTCAACCCACCAGTTTTCTCACTGTTACCCTTTTGATTCTCCCCCCATCCCACTGGGCAGAGGCACAGTTAGTGAGCGGCTGTGTGGTGCTTAGTTGCCAGCTGGGGTTAAACCCCAACAGCAGTGCATATATTAAGCTTTTCCCAGTATTCAAGGTGAAAAAACAAATCAGAAATTAATAATAATAATTACAGTAAAGATAAAAACCAAACAATTTAATGTGAAATTTGCAACTTTTATTATTTAAAGACAACCTTTCTAGATACATACCAGAGTAGTCCTTAGCTTGGATTTCTTCAGGAAACACAATGTTTTTAATTAGCACATTCAGTAATATGCTGTCAGTGAGGTAAAACTCACTGGAATCAAAATGCATTTCAGTGTTTTGTTATTCTTAAAATTTCACATCCTCTTTTTTTTTTTTTTTTTTTACCTTGGAAAAGTGCAGTTAAGTTATTTCCATCTCCTGTAGGATTCCTGAACTTTACATTTTTATCTGTCCACCACGC